AAAATCACATAGTTATTCAGCATTCCAATAAGGTATGATTTTTCAATGTGAGTCAAGTTAAGATCTCAGTATTAAAAAAAAAAGATGCTATCCACACAGTTGTATGAGTGGAGGAGTGTATAATACTTTAATATTCTACTGTACTTTTTTTTTTTTAGATACAGGGTTTCTCTGTGTAGTTTTGATGCCTGTCCTAGCTCGGTAGACCTAGTCTTGAACTCACAGAGATCCACCTGGCTCTACTTCCCAAGTGCTGGGATTAAAGGCATGTGCCACAACCACACAGCTTCTTAAATTGCATATGTAAATTGAAGAAAGTGGTGTTTTACTACTAAATTCATTTGCAAATAAAGAGCTATTGTTGTGAGAAGTGTTGTTATGACCTGTCACAAGCCAGCTAGCAGAGCAATGATAAAGCAGATGTGGGAGGAAAGGGACATTACAATCCTTGCGTGTAAGGGTTGTTCGCTTTTGTGTCCCTTGTTCCTGAGTTTTTTGTTTTGTTTTGCTTTTGCTTCCCAGTAACCTTGAAGCATCTTCCCTTCCTTCTTCAATCTGTTTCTTTTTTTTTCTAATTTGCAAAGCAATGTCTGTCCAACATAGACTATTTCCAAAACAAAGACTGAGGAAAAAGAAGCTATTCTCAACATGCCTAATATTTTCACATTCTTCTGGTACTTTTTGTACTACATTTACAATCATGGAATGATGTCTAATTAGTTTCGCATCTTGTCCTTCCTCTTGATAATTAAGCCCTGAAGGTTTTTCTACCTTACACTTTTCTCTGTTCTTGCTGTTCTCATTGCTACCTCAGACTCCCTCCTGTGCCTGTCCTATCACTTCCAGAACGAACTGTATGACGCAATAACCTGTGGCCGTCTTCGTTCATAAGGCAGTATAGCTCAGTTTTACAGAGCCCAACTGCTGGCACCAGCTTGGCTGGATCCGAATCTCCACTCTTCCCTTTGCCAGCTTAGCAAGCATGGGCACCACCTAGAGAGCTGTGCTCTGAGTCCTTGATCCACAGAAGGGAATGGCAGTTCTACCTCCCAGAGCTGATAGGGTGCTACCCAAAATGGTAACCCAAGTGGTCCTACCCAAAATGTCCAGAGAATAGTAAGTGTCATCTACATATTGGCTATTACCATTGTTTTTATTTCTTGTCGTTTTATTGGTGTTGTGATATGGCGAGACAGGGGAGGAGTCTAAGGCAAGAGGAGTGCATGCTGCCCAACCACATTCCAGAAACCTCTCAGCAGCTTCTATTTCCTCACTCACGGGTACAAAGCACTTTCTACCACACCTAGGACAGCACACCTGGCCTTGATTTTTCAAATCTGTTTAAGTGGGACAGGGCCTCTTATTTATTTGAATCCATGTTTTCTTTATTTTTATAAACAAAGCAAATAATCACATGATGCTAGCTGTTTTTATTTCATGCTTATAAATCTTTTCATAGCAAAATATTTGGAATTTTATCCAACTTGTTTAGTTTATTTTTAATTTCTCCTTTACTACATGAGCATTTGGAAATTTTTATATCAATACACTCAAGCCAAGACTCTTTTGTGTGTGTGTGTGTGTGTGTGTGTGTGTGTGTGTGTGTATGTTTTCCATTACTTTTTAAGTAGAGATCATTCTGGGTTTTTCTCAGAGGTAAACAAATGCTTACTGATATTTTCTTCACTTTTATGGCTTCATTATTATTTTTACATTTGACTTACTTTTAAATTTACAAGTATTAATTTAGCTTACCATGAAAACAGAACCTAAATAAATTTCCACTTCCAAAATAACTATGAATTATTTCTCTGTCTAGTCAAGTAGTTCCCACATTCTCTTGAAGTTTGTTGATATCTACTTACAATGTACAGGCTCTCTCAGAGTATCTGTGGAAAATCCAGCACAGGATGCTTGCCCAGGGGCAAATGTGTGCAAGCATGCACATACCCACTTTCTCTCTGCTCTTACTTTGCTTATCTATCCCTAGTAATTGCTACTAACTGGCCACTTTATGTCTGCTTGCTGGGTTATTTGCTAAATTGATGAATGAACCAAATCCATAAAATACAGACAGATGGGAGTCCTGAGTGATCATTCAGCTCATTCCATACCTGAACCATCTTCTATATTTTAAAGTATGACATCTTCAAAAGCTGGTTTTGACAAGTGATGCCCAATAAGCATAGCATGGAGCTTTTAAAAAAATAAAGAAGCCTGGGCTCCACACAACTGTCAGGGGACAGCCTGGGTCCCTGGATCTTCCACACACCCTGCTGATTCCAGTGTGCAAACAAATGGAAAGCCACCAATCTAGAGGACTTACTTGTTCACTCAGAAAAGTACATTTCATAATAGATACATTCATTTCAAAGTTAATGTAATATGAAAATATAAAATTAATACATGTGCAAGTATGTTTGTGTGTACCCATGAATACAAAGTGTAGTTACCAACTCAATTACCCAATGATATAAAATTTTCATTCTAGACTAAAGAGATTCTCTTCCAAAAGTTATTCAACCTGGTGGCATAGATGAAGGCCAGATGCAAGGTGACCAGTATCTTTGTCCCCCGCACCCCTCCCAGGCAAGGGTGCGCTTTCAGAATAACCATTTAAGGGTTTCAAAATGGTCATGTCCTAAGTTCCTGATTCTGTCCCATCCCCTTTTGGGGCCTCACCATGAGGAAACAGACCATATTCTAGAAAAATGGTCCATCCAAATACCTAGATGTTAAGCCCCTTCAAAACCTCCCAGTGAGGAACCTGTTTTCCAGAGTAGAAAACAGCCAAGCTCGTGACAGTGAGTTTCACTGACTCACAGGTAAACAAACATATTGCCTCAATGTCGCCCATTCATTAGCAGAACCTAGCACCGACGGATCCCTAACACAGAGTGCCTTGACGAAAGTTGCAACACCCCATGAAGTTTTTCTTTTTCTCCACGCTGAGAACTGGAGATAGGCTAGGCAAGCCCTCCAGCACTGAGCTGGGCTATGCGTGATTTAAACACACACACACACACACACACACACACACACACACACACACACTCCTTTTTCTATAGCTTCAAATGCTTAAGTGTTTGACTTCCTCTGCAAAGAGGCGAAACAGCCAGGTGTAACTAGCAAACGTGATCTTGAACACACCCAGAAAATCACTGCCACCTCACAGTGCTTGACCTAAAAATTATCTGCTCCTATTATCTCCACACTTTTCCCAAGTGTGGATCCAGACACACAGACCATGTTCCTTACCCCTCCTCTTCTCCAGGACCCCTGTAGTCCTTGCAAAGTGTTTGGCTTCCCCAGGAATTTGCCAGTCCAAGCCTACCCTCCCTCATGACATATCCATCCCTCCCTCCCGGACCAACTTCCACTTTCCTCTTTCTGCAGAGGTCCCTGGTGTGTGTGTGTGTGTGTGTGTGTGTGTGTGTGTGTGTGTGTGTGTGTGTGTGTGTGTGCAAATACACATGAATGCATTCATGGGCTTGCTATCCCCAAGGCCTGCATACATCAGCTCTCCCCCTCACCTCCCTACCCCCTCCCATCCCGTCATTAATTGATGTGATAACTGTGATGTAACCTGCTAGGACTTCTCACCTCTGGAAGGCCCTTGATTAAACACAAAGATTTGGGAATCAAGAAAATATAATGTGTATCTCCAATCTATTATTAGATGGATGTCCTTTAGGTAAATTCCTGAATCTCTCTACCGCCCTGCCCTCATTTTTTAAGCCTGATGATACTGCCTATTTTATTCCTTTCCTACAAGGATTAAGCAACTGTAATACAGCCTAAGAAAGGCTTTGTACACTGTCAGTAGGGGGTAAACACTAAGTAAAATCAACTGTTGCTGTATTTCAGCTCTTCACATCTCTCTGCAAAGGAACTATAAACCCGTACTCTAATTATCCGTGTACACACACACACACACACACACACACACACACACACACACACACACACACACACGGCTCACAATTGATCTTGTTTTCAGGATCCTTGCCCCCTGAGAGTGGGCGGCCCCTTCCCCTTGCTCCAGGCAGCAGCAAGGAGTGAGGAAGGGCATCAGAGTCGTCCTTACCTTCAGAGAGGTGTCTCACAGGCAGGGCTGGGCAGTGGTAGGTCCTTCACTTACATTTGAGAAGCAGAATTCACACAGCAGGTGAGAAAGAGTGATCCCTCCCCGTCTACAACTGTGAAACCAAAAAGAGATGGGGGGTTGCGGGTGTGCAGTGAGGCTGGGCTAGGAGAGCTTGACTAAAGAGATCAAACAACCGGGATGGCTGGGGGTTGGGGGGGAGCCAAAGATACGGGGGTGGGGAAGAACAGAACAGTGAAAAGAAAAGAAAAGCTAAGGCCGTAGGTGGGCACCGCCCGGGGTGGAAGGTGCTCCAGGCTCCGAGTTGTGAGCTGGAGACTGAAGTCCAGGGCGCTCCCAAAAGTGGGCTGCTCCACTCAGGAGCTCTTGAGGTTTCCAGTCTGGGATGCCCTGCGCCCACCCGCTCCCCGCTCCCCGCCCAAGCCTGTGCTGATTTCTCCCCTCGCCCCCGCTCACCTGCCTATAAGCTCCCCAGTTCCCGGAGCTCAAGCCCTCAAGGCGATAGACCGTGCCGTGCCGTGGGAAAGCCCGTGGAGCGTCCTGGTCTCCGCGGACTCTCCGCCGTCCCGGACCTCCCGAAGACGCATGGCTTCCAGCTTCCTGGGACCTGCGCAGCTCCATCTACTCTCTACCGGTGGTAGAGCCCATAGCAGGGCGGTGACCACTCCTTTAATCCCAGCACTCGGGAGGTAGAGGCAGGTGGATCTCTGTGAGTTCGAGGTCAGCCTGGTCTACAGAGTGAGTTCCAGGATAACCTGAGCTATTACACAGAAAAACCCTGTCTTGTAAAACAAAACAAAAACAAAACAAAACAAACAAAAAAGAACCACCTGTGCACACCGCACCCTTCTGGTAGAGGGCGCTAAGAACCCAGGACTCCTGCACTGAGGGAGGGAGGTGAGGGCTGGAGAGAAGAGAGGGAGGAGGCCCTTGGAAGAGAGTCCTTAAGACTGCCAGGCTCCCAGAGCCAACAGGGAACCAGTACCAGCCCAGGATGCCCAGCCTCTGGAATGAGTCGGAATTCACAATTGGGACGTAATGGAGAAATTTTAAATTGGTCAAAAAAAAAAAAAAAAGGAAAACGAACGGTATTTCTAGATTTTTATAGTTACCCTAGAACTCTTCAAACACACACGAAGAGAATGCTCACAGAGTCAATGACACAATTATTTTTGCCCAATCAAAAATAATTCAGCATATCATAAATAGGAAAAGCATAATTTTGCTGGGATAAATGGAAAACATGTCTTTAACAAACTTTAACACTCCTACGACACACAAATTGGACACAGAAAGGTTCATTATTCTCTTTCTAATCTGATAAAGAATGTTTACAAGCAGCCGCATGGAGAAATGTTTTGTTTTCCTGTGACTGGTAACCAGAAAATGATGTCTGCTCTCACCTGCACAAGCACTTTGAAGAAAAAGTTTGTAATTATAAGGGTAGGAAAGGGTAAAATGGAAGTAATGGCTTCCACAAAAGCTATTTTTAGGTGGGTCACCCTTTAAACCTATCAAAACAAGGCAATGAAACTACTATCTTGAGTTTAGCAAAATCGTCAGATACAGGTTCACCTCAGAAATATCAATTATAGGTTTCTATATTAGTGATACAGCTGAAGCAGGAAATCTGGCAAGGGAGCCAATTACAGTAGCATTAAACAAAAGCATTAATCCTTTGAAAGACTCATGCTCTGTACTTGGGCAACTGAAGAGCATGCGAGAGCAATGAAAAAGCCACACAGATGGAGGTGGATACCAAGCGCATGGACTGAAAGGCATTTCTGTCTGGTTATCTACTTTTCAATGCTGTGGGATAATCCTTCTGTACAATATGAAGATGTGTTGCTCTCATTGTTAGTAAAGAAGTGACTGGCCAATAGCTAGGCAGGATTTTCAGGGCAGAGAGAATGCTGGGAAGAAGAGTGGAGTCCTTGAAGATGAACTTGCCTTACTGAGATAAGATGCCAAGTCACGTGGTAGAACACAGAATTATGGGTTAATTAAAGTTGTAAGAGATAGTTAGTAACAAGCCCAAGCTATTGGTCAAGCATTTATAATTAATAATAAGTCTCAGTGTGGTTATTTAGGAGCTGGCTGATGGTACAGAGCTGACTGCCTGGACACAGAGAAACTCTGCCCACACAGCTCAATTGGTAGAGAACATACTTTAGACTCTATATTATGGGTTCTATATACATTAATATCCAAATCTTAGGTGGAATTTTCTAAGAAACTAAGAGTATGTCTCTAAAACGTATATATGAAAATGCAAATAGTTTAAAATTGTCAGAATAGTCTTGAAAAGAAACAAACAATAGTTTTCTTGGGTCATTTTAGGTGGGTGAGGTAGCAGGGATAATGAATCATCTATTCCCAGAGAGGAGACTGGAGAGAATTTTATTTTTAGAGGTCTTCATTAAGATAAATCATGAAATACAGTCAACTCACATGGTATACAATGAGATTTTATAATTCCAAATATGAGTATTTACTGAATTGTTTCTGAAGTCCAAATTCTTCTATTTTCTATTAGCAAAAGAATCTAGTGTGGTATTGCATTTCATCTGAGCTAAGAAAACTTTTAATAGAGGGCATTAAGGAACTTACTCACAGTCATGGAGCTGGTTATCCAAAGCAAGGATTCCTTCCTGGTCCCACATTCTACTGTATGAACTAGTTATATACACAGCATGCCTTTCATGGGTCAGTTTTGGGCAAGTCAATAAAAGTAGATAATGCTATGTAAGAACACAACACTCTACTACAATAGGGCAAGTGGTTATAGCATGGGCAACCACAGCATAGATGCAGGGTAAATTTGAATTCCAGATCATCTTCAGCTAAAACTTCAGCCTTTATAATTGAACTTTATGAAATGTTTACCTAGCAAGCCAACTTAAGGTTACAGATTAAGAGTATGGGATCCCTAGAAAGAAGGGTTTCTAGATCCTTTACACAGACTTCTGGGTATATGATTTCTCTGCAGCCAGGACTCTGAAATATATGTTGACTGTGAGTTCAAAATTGTTCTCCATTTCAAGAGTCTATATATTCTGTTTCCATTGTCATTTCAGTGTGGAATCCCATCACTTAGTGAGTAACCCAACTAAGGAAGGCCTCATCTCCATCAGCATAACTCGAGGTACCAATAAGATATCTGCCTTGGCTCTGGATCCACTCCTGGGTGTCTATGACCCCGAAGTATGTGTGTTCTCCTGAAGAAGACTTTCCAGAGGACCTTTGACTACAGATTGTTCTGTCCAAATTCCCTACACGTGTCATAGAAATATCACAAAAAGTAAGTTGTCTCATGGTGAAAAATGTATTTGAGTTGTTAGGTAGAAGATGTGATCATGTAGCATGGCAGACTTGTTTCTCATAGTGGCCACTTTAGCTGGAGTTTGCAGCACAAGCTAAGATGAGACATTCTGAATATCTGTGATGTTAAAGAAACTCAGTGATGCGCCACAGATTTTCATTATGGTGAGAAATAGGAAAAATGCAAAGTCAGTATTGTACAATCCCAGCTATACAAATCATATATATATATATATATATATATATATATATATATATATATATATTTTAATCATATTCTAAAATACAGACTTACTTGCCAAAATTAATCTTAAGATGACAGGGTTATAATTGCTTTTTATTATATTTTCTTTCATACCTTCTGTTTTCAAATATACCTTTATTACTTTTTTAGTGAGAAAATATTTCTAAAGAGAATAAAAACAGATGAAAGACATTTAGAACTGAAAAAAAAAAACATGATTTTAATGGTGATTTGGACGAGGTATTCTAACAAATTTGGCGATATTGACATGACAAAACTGTGTAACTGCCAAAAAAGATAAGACAGAAATTCTGGTGTGTTGGGAATGTGATTTCCTACTGGTGTTCTCCATCTGGACATGAGAATGCTCTTTGAAATGAATCAGAATTCTATGCAAGAACATCAGCTTGATACTCAGAAAGTAGATTACTGATGGGGATTAAAAAGAAGGAATAAAGAGAGAAATGGAAAAAAAGGCACAGGGGATGATGTTGTGCCACAAACGGATGACATGGACAAAGGAAAGCACAGAGAAGGGAGGTATGGCCCCATCCACAAATAGGAAAATGAGCTAGCATAGTTTGTTAGCTGGGACCTGAGGCTGCGACCCTTGACATTCCAAGTCTTCACAGCTCTACTCCACTGCCTGCTCCTGGGACACACCCAGCTCTGGCTGGTCAGGCCCACAACTCAGAAGTGTTTCAGGTCCAAGCATGTCTTGTCACTCAGAGGAGCCGCACCAGATGCCAACTTGGGGAGTCTGTTTGGCACTGGCATTTGGTACCTCACATGCTTCCAAAATTTGGAGCTTAGAGACTGCTTGTTGGCCACGTGGTCTTCCCTCCACTTGATGGTCCCCTGCATTTTCACAAGGTGCTGGAGTGAATCTTGAAGGTCCCCAACCTGCAGTCGGCTGGCTTTACCCAGAGGCTCCATTTCAATAAGAATCACCTTGGAGTTGTTCTGGATGAGGGCGCTGTGCAGGGCAACCTCCTGTTCATAAGCAAACTCTTTGCTGTGCATCATGCGAGGGGCCAGGACAAACATCTGTCTTCTGCTGCTCTGGATACTGCTTTCCACTACAGTGGCTGCATCTACAGTCAGGAGATGGATAGAGACCTCCTATCATTCCTTTTGTACATTTAATGTCTGAATCGTGAACATTCTGGATATTTAAAAGTTCTTTTTGTTGTAATCTGATGGGAGATTCTAAGCTGATGGAGTCATATTCAGAAATTAGAAATGACATTACTGATTTTTACTACAAGAATATCTGTCCAAGGGCCTTTCATGGGGGGCTTAGAATTCATTCATTAGAATTTAATTCTTAGTCTCTTATCATCTTAAGCTGACTATTGGCATGTATTCAAGATGGTCAACATTTTAATTCATACACCGTAGGGTGCAAACTCTGCAAGTATTGATCCTCTCAACTGACCAATGCTACAAGAGAAGTCCTGGGTCCCTTTACCCCACAATGATCTCTGTTTGGAGAGCTGATTCAATTCATGCTTTAAAAAATAATCCTAAGAAAAGTCATATCCCCTTTCAAAGTCAATCTTTGTGCCTGTGCCAAAGCCAAGGTGATGGATGCAATTAGCTCTGAGTAGACTTTAAAAAAAAAAAAAAAGTCCCGCCTAGCACTCACTGCAGAGGGTGAAAGTACATGAAAGCAGTGAAGCTGTGAACAACTCAAGATCTTCTTAGAGAGCTGTGGTTACTTCTAATCAGCTGGAATGAGAAAATATTGTGAAATGGTGACAGATGGATCCTTGTGTTGGTTGGAATTTTTTGGATGGAAAGAGATGCAGAGTGGACATCAAAGGAGAGTGGAAGATATCTAGCAAGAACCTAAGCACAGTGCACTGGACAGCTACCAACTTTCTCTAAGGGACGAGTGGTGTTCTGTGGGCTTTGCTGTCCCTGGGTTGAGGAAAGATCAGGGTTCATGCACTGAGGGAGGGGAAGAGGAAACCATCCAAAGGACAGTGCTGCCATCCGACAAGAACAATACAAGCTGGATCCCCAGAGAGCATCCATCCAAGCTTCTGAGTTTGGTTGATAAGAAAGTGTTAATAGAAATTAGCTGGATGAAGAGGAAAGAAGAGATGAAGATCGGGCAGCTAGGCATACCGCCATAGACAGGTAGAGGTCCTACAGGTCCTTGAACAGATGTGAGACATGGAAAGGACACTAGTGGCCATTGCCCACTATTTTCTATCCATGCAACAGTCTGCAGCAGAGCTGGCAAAGCAGGGAGGAGCCCCTAAGAAGATTGAGATTGCACCCTCATAACTTCAGGTCTCTTATAACAGTGTCAGCATTGATCAGATATTTGAGAAGAAATCAGATTGCTCTGTGCACGTGCCTGTTAATCTACTCTACTTAAGCTCCTCTCCTTTAGTAGACACCGTAATTTAAAAAGTTAGTAAATGTGAATTTCACTAGGCAATATGCTTACGATTTTCTGTCCCCATTCTCACTCCAAACCATGGTGGACCTCTGAGGAATCAAAGAAAAGTTGTCAGGGAAAATTAGAAAACTCTTGGCCTAAACCTATAGAGGGAGGGGAAAAACAGTCTGTTGAAATGGCTGGCATTGTGATAAAACAATCAAAAGTATGTGAGATTTCGCTAAGAACACTAAGAAACAGAAGCCATTGTTCCGCTGCCCTGAGAATACAAATTTGCAAACTGTTTCATCAGCTTAAGGAAAACCAGCAGGACTTTCTCAGCTCTTTCAAATATCTTCGCTATAGGCTATGGATATCAGAGTCAAAATCTTTCCCTTGATTTTTTTGTTAGGTCTCTTGGAGAGAGCAGAAAGTTTCAGAGATGGCTGTGCCCAACAGTAAAAGACTGTGACCTTCTCCCCACCTCATAACTCTCGAGACTCCAGACCCTTCCTGCCAGAGACCCTCTAGCTAGCCCATGGGACACAGAAACGTAGTTGGAGACTATTATAGGAAATTACAACTAGTCAAAAAAACAGAGAGCAAACAAGTGTGGGGCACCAAGCCACAGTTGGGAGTCTACATCAAGACTCTTTCCCCTAAGGCTCAGAGGATATAAGGGAAGAGGGGTGGAAAGATTGTAAGAGCCCGAAGACCAGGTCAGCTGCTGTGAGGTGTGTCTTCTAGAAATGACAGGACAGCTTCTTCACCCATGATACCTCAACAATATGTCTGCCTAAACAAGACCTGAAAATGTACAACGTGAATAGATATACTAGCACAGAAGGGGAAATCTCATGGGGTCCCAGCCATAGACAAAAACAAAAACAAAAAACAAACAAACAAAAAGAAAAACCCAAATGGCAACTAAGGAATGTTGAGAGTAGAAAAGCTCTTTGGGATGAGCCCTCTGATTGATTACACTATACCAAGTGGTCAACCCTGAAATTATTTACATACAAGTAACATGAAATGAGACGAGACGAGTTATTCTCTCTCTCTCTCTCTCTCTCTCTCTCTCTCTCTCTCTCTCTCTCTCTCTCTCT